GTTGAAACCCTTTGGCAACCCTGCGTAGATTTTCAAACAGAGCTAAGCACCCAGCAGGTCTCATTGTAAAACGCAGAATGGCAAAACAGTCAATTCAACCCAGGTTTATGTTGATGCTTAAAATGAGAGCTAAACTCTTTGGAAAACCTGGCCCCAAGATATCATAGCAGCTGAAAGAGTTGGCTTGCAGTAAAAAGTATTTATTCTTTACACTTCGCGGTAGGCTCTGTGACGACCCCTGGAACGTGGGCCACGCTTGCCAGAACAAGTCCTTAAAATAGGTTCAAGCAATAAAATGGGGCGTGTCAGTTTCAGGCAGGGGCAGAGAACCTTCTTTGGGTTGGGGAGCTGCTGACCCACAGAAAAATCAGTTTGGGGGGCCGCACACAGTAAAAAGTATTTATTCTTTACACTTCGCGGTAGGCTCTGTGACGACCCCTGGAACGTGGGCCACGCTTGCCAGAACAAGTCCTTAAAATAGGTTCAAGCAATAAAATGGGGCGTGTCAGTTTCAGGCAGGGGCAGAGAACCTTCTTTGGGTTGGGGAGCTGCTGACCCACAGAAAAATCAGTTTGGGGGGCCGCACACACGTGAGAAACAAACAAACAAACAAAACTCTTCACTGAGGCAACGCCCGACCGAGAAGGAGAAAGACGCGCCTCACATTTCACTCGCACACCAGAGCCTCGCGGGGACAGGCTAGTAGATTTTGTGTCCTTCTGCCCTGGGAGGGACCGCGGGAGGGCTGGCGTGCCAGCATGGGCTCCCCAAAGCTCAAGGGAGCCCTGAGCCTCCAGGGCTGGATCCAGGCAAGTCACGGGCCACATCCGACTCCCAGGCCTTAGGTTCCCCCACCCCTGGTTTAAGGCCTGTGGCATCCTCTTGGGTACCACTTGTGTGTTTCTGACCTGCTGTAAAGGGTTAGCTTTTTAAAGTCTTGGAACCCCGCTTAAATATGAATGATGTCTTCCAGCAAATCCGCGCAGAATACAAGTGTTTTTTAAACAGGTACTGTGATGTCCCCCTGCAAAACTGAATGATTCCTGCCCATTTACAGTGACTTAGCTATGTAAGAGAGGGCCTGATGTGGTGGGTGACAATATATGTGCATACGATCAAAGCTGCGAGGCAGCGCTGTTAGCCTGGAACGCGCTGGTGCTTCAAGGCTCCTCCCCCGTGTTACCCAGCGGAGAGGTTCCCAGACGTTTGAGGCCAGGACCTACCTTCAGTAGCCTCACTACATGTGTTGGCTTTGGAGAAAATGAAGGGGCCCAGCTGGGTTCCCTTGCCAGCCCCTGGGGGCCACGCTACCGCAGCTGACGCCGCCCTATGGCGTGAGGCCGTGTGCCTAGGCATCACAGTGTGCAACGAGGGGCCGGCGGGGGCAGGGCATAGAGCCCTTTCTCACTGCCCTAGCCTGAGGGCTGAGAAGTGCTGCCCCAGAGGAAGAAGGAGGTGTGTGTGTGTGGGGGGGGGGGGTCATTGCTTGCCCACGGTCCAGCAAGAGTCTATTGCAGAGTTAGGACCATTGGCCAGACTATTCCCCCTCAGTGGGGCCAACAGCCACCATGGGCCTCAAGACAAGGTGTGTGCGGGGGGCAGCTCTGTGCCCCTGGAAGGGGCGGGGACTCGGACAGAAGGGGCGGGGCTGAGGGCAGTCAGCTCTTAGCCCCACCCAAAATGTAGTACTAGGGCCACCCCCTCCAGCCCTCAGAGCTGCACAGCAGGCCTGGCCCGGTGCAGTACAAAAGCCACAATTCAAAGGGGTTAGGGTTTGAAACGCCAGGCCCTGGGGAAATTACCACCGATGCCCCCTCCCTCACTATTGGCAGGCCTGTTCCCCCTGGTTTCTACGCCACGTCCGTAAAACAAACCTGCCTCCAGTCAGCCGACTTGTGTGTAAGCAAACACCACGACACGGTAGCTTTCGGCAAGCCGTGGGGCTGGGAGGGGCGGGTTCAGAAGAGCTATGACAGGGACGTATAAGGGGCTTAATTAGGCCCATGTGGAGAACGTTGAAAAATCCTCACATGAACGTCCGTGAGCTGTCCCAGCTCCCTGACGACAAAGTCCTTCAGCTCTCTCCTTTGGAATCTCACCATTTGACTGATACAAGTTGCATCCATGCCCTTGTTCCCTTTTTTTTTTTTTTTTTTTAAACATACCTGGAGGTTTTTATATAGCACTACAAAGTAGAGATGTGACCGGTGGGGGCTGGAGCAGCCCCCCATCATTACTTAACCATTTAAAGTTGAAGTAAACTTCACCTTTAACCAAGTAAACTTTAACCTTTAACTTCACCGTTAACATGGGATTTTCCATCCTTATTAGAAAGGCCAATTTATTCCCAACACAGAAGAATCCAGCCCCAGGGA